CCCCCCCCACCCAGCAGGGCCAGATCCTGTGACTGCTGTAATGTACAGGGATAGGTAGCTGGGACTGGGGCAGTGACACTTTAATGCCCCGTACACTACGTGATGTTTTGATGTGGAATACTGGAACCCAAAAAACAAAGAACATAGAACCATGACAGTCTGTGGGCAAGGTGTATATGCAGCTGTTTATTTTTCTTTTTCCTCTGTGGGAATGTAGCTCAGATTATCTGAAATGCAATAGTATTTAATGCTAATCCGGAGAGGATGCACGTCCAATTACTGAGCTCAGGCACCTAGTTCCCACTAGCAATTGCAATAAGTACCAGCTTTACCAGTTTTAGCTTTGTGGTCTTTCCTTAATGCTCTGAGTCTTGGCTGTACTTAAGGCTTCCAAGGTGTCTTTAGAATAGAAGTTTCAGTTTAGGTTTTTGTCATATGTGACCTACGTGATGATTGTTTTTATTCTCTCTGACAGATAATCTTGTACGTAAAGGAGGAGATGAAGAAAAACAACATCTCAGAGCAGACTGTCATAGCCATAATCTGGTCAAGTGTGATGAGCACTGTGGAGTGGAACAAAAAGGAGGAGCTGGTAGCAGAGCAAGCCATTAAACACTTGAAGGTATGTAACCAAGTTGAGGCTTTTGCATCTCCTGGGGTAGGGCTTGGGCTTCCTTTTGTCTCCAGCTCTCTTTTCAAGTGAATTGGAACCTATAAGTACCACAATGCAGAGACAGCATTAGATGGGGAGCTCTTCCCCTTGCAACTTTAGTATTGATTGCTGTTCCAGTTGTTGAGGTAAAAGCAGTACAATTTTGGCAGAAACGCTCCCACAGATGTGTGGAAATTGCTTCCCCAATATGTGGGTTGTAAATTTCTAAGCTGTGGCTGATAAAAACTGCGCAAAGCCAGCGTAGATGGGCAGTAACTGTTAAGAAATGTTGTGTCTGCATGTCAACTTGTTTTTCCTTATTACAGCAATACAGCCCTCTACTTGCTGCCTTTACTACCCAAGGTCAGTCAGAGCTGACTCTTCTGTTGAAGATTCAGGAGTATTGTTATGACAACATTCACTTCATGAAGGCCTTCCAGAAAATAGTGGTGCTCTTCTATAAAGGTAAATGTCTGTGGGCTTGATTTCATTTTCTGTTTAAGCCTGGATTGCAGAATGGTTTGGTCCTGGTAAGGCCTTCCGGGGAGCTCAGTGCTTTTCCATAACTGAATAATTTTCTACCCTCAGTTTGCAAACTTAGAACTCTAAAATACAAGTGGAGGTACTGTAGTCTTTGGCACATGGATAAGTACTCTGGACAAGGAAGGATGCTTCTTGTCTCCTGCAGCAAAGCAATAAGACTTTCAGGCACTTAACTACAGTCTTTTCCCAAGTTCTTGGTCTGAACAGGCAGAGATTGAGACCACCAAGGTGACAAGGTGCTCTAGGGCTTCTGCTAAATGGCTGTTTAAAAGGTATTAAAGACATGCTTGTGGGCCTGTAGAAACACCATAGGAACATAAGGAAAATTGATGATGTGAAGATTATATTGTATTTGTGAATGGTAACAATTGATAACAGCTGGTGTGGTGTCCTGACATTTGTTCTTAGTGGTTGACTGACTCAGAGTATGTGAACTCAAATAGCTGTGAAATACTCAAGGCTGTGTTACCACTAGCAGTAAAAGTGAAGCTTCTGGAGGCAACGCTCAGAAAACCCACAGTCACCTGAACCTGAAAAGTGTGGTTCTCTTTTCCACACTTATGTCCAGCCATCCCCAAGGAACAACCAACAGATATGTGTTGAAATTTCTAGGCGAGGAAGCCAAGCCTGCTAGGCAGGGTTCCTTGCTGACTGCTGTTTGGTGTTTTGCCCTGTTGACATCACTCTTGTACACCTTACAGCTGAAGTTCTGAGCGAAGAACCCATCCTGAAGTGGTATAAAGATGCACATCTTGCAAAAGGAAAGAGTGTCTTCCTGGAGCAAATGAAGAAGTTTGTTGAATGGCTCAAGAATGCTGAAGAAGGTAAGCAAAAGCTTAGCTCACAAGTTCCTCTTCACTTTGAGATGCCTGATGCTTTTTTTTGTCAGCTGGAGGCACTAATGGATTTTCTGAGACCGGGACTGCCCCCAGTCCTGGCTGGAAAAGCAATCCCTGTGGTTTGGGGCTGCTGGGTGGGGGCTGCAGGGGGGCTGGCCTCATGGCAGCAGCTGATCAGGGTTCTCTCTTGCAGAGTCAGAGTCTGAAGCGGAGGAGGGTGACTGACCTCTGGAACAGTCCTCAGTAAAGCAAACAGGAGCTGTAGATAAGTGTCATGTCTCATGTGTCCTTCTGATTCTTACATCCTACCTCCCTGTATCAAGCATGATATAAGGGCTCTCATGGCAAATTTATTTTAACTGTTTTCTATAGTTATTGAAATACCGGGTTTAGTTTTTAAAACCATGTTTTAAGTAGGTAGTTTACAGGAGCTATAGATTTGACTCTAACCTGCATTTGTCCTTTCAGTTATATTCTACCTCCTGTATTTTCTACTGTAATAATGTAATTTAAGGCCTTCCACAATTAAATTCATTTTACCTTCTTGGGTTTTCTATCTGCATTTGAGTAGACATGATTTGGTAAATGAGATTCATGGCAGTTCTGTTTGCAAATTAAATTGTAAAAAGCCTCTGATTTGACGAGGCCGTGGCTTGCGTGGTAACTTGGTGTGACACTTCAATCCATACTACTTGCTCCAGATAACCTTGTTGATTGTCCATCTTTGTAAAATCTTTGTCATCTCTTTTCCTGTACTTCCAGCATAAAGTAATCTTAGCGTCCAGCTGTTGCACGGGGCACCTGCGCCACTGCTGGGAGCTCCTGTGGTGGTGGTAGTGACCTCTGTAGCTAAGGTGGGGTATGAAGAGTGGCCTCTCTGAGCCTGCTGTCACAGCTGGTGGCCCGAGTTCCTAAGGGACTGCACCACTTACTGCTCAGGCTGATATACAGCCAAGGATCAGTTTGCAGCTTCTCTCCCAAGCAAATAGCGCTGTTCTGCATGCAGCTGCCCAGCAGCTTTCTAGAGCCCTGACTGAAGCTGCTCAGTGCCTGGGCAGGGCTGTGCCTTGCCTGTGCTGTCTGTTACATACAGGACTGCTGGAAGGTAAGCTGAGCAAAACCCTACCCCTGCCCTTACATGGGATTACTTTATGCTGGCAATTGTTACATGAAACCAGATTATCTGTTCACCAAAACTTGGAATTCTTGAGGGCAGTTCTCAGGACAGCAGGTAATTCAGGAGAGCTGGTAAAGACAGGCTGCTGTTGTAAGCTAACAATGAGCACTAGCTGAAATACTCATAACCTGAGTGTACCCACTAACATGGAAAAAGAAAGTGATGATCACAGTGCTATCTGTTGAATACTACAGTGATCTTCCTTTGTAATTTTTTTTTCAAGCAAATAAAGGCCATTCTTACACTTAATGCAGAGTGGTGTCTGTAAGCATCTTTAGTTCCCAAGTATTTTACCATTGCTGTGACTCTTTAATAATCATTTATCTTTTTCCCTTTTAGGATGAGGCCTAGTTCATAAGGGTGCTCTTTCCCTATGTCCAGGTAAAAAAAAAAAAAAAAAAAGTGCAGAGATTTTAATAATAAGCAAACAATCAGGATCATCTCTTTTTTTCTTAAATAACTTTTATTTCAGCAGCTGCATCAATCCAAAAGAGTCACAATACAAAATAAGACATTTACAAAGAAGAACTATACATAATAATTTATTACTTAAAATCTCCTATATTTCTTTGGTGGGCTAATAGCATCTGGACAGGACTGCTCTGCTACAGGCGACAGCTTCCTTTTCTCTTTTTTCAAGGGGAAGAAGAAAGGATGTTTTAGTGCTTCTTCAAGTGTAATACGTTTAGCTGGATCATACTCCAACATTTTTTGAATGAGGTCAAACAGGTTCTCGTGGTCAGCATCCCTGCATGTCATGAATTCCTACAACACCACAAACACTGTTTTGTTCATATCCTAATTACAGTTCTGTCCCCCTGAGCCCTTTCCCTTCTATCATTTTACCTTCAGTGGTTTGCAGCGCCTTGCAACATATCTGCCTGCAGAACTGTGCTCGTCCCAGTCCAGCTGGTCCCGATGGAAATATTTCCGTTTCCTTCAATAAACAGCACAACTTGTTATTTAAAACCCATCTGTCCCCTTAAAACGTCTTTACTAGCATGTTTCCTCCCACAGGGAAATGATCTGATAATATCCCACTAAAGCAAAGGTAGGTTGTTAAACAAAGTAAGAAGATGAGTTCACTTTTTTCCTTCTTGTTAAACCAAACCTGAAAATACTGCATTTAAAAATGAAGGAATCAAGGTAGAGAAAAACAAGTGTAATTACCTGGTTTTCTGTATCATGTGATTAGGCAAAGGCCCCAGTATCCGTTCCATCATTGCCAGGTGCTCTTTGCTGTCATGAGTCTGAAGGAAAATAAACATTTCTCTTATCCTTAAAGTAAATTACCACGATGTACACACTAACCTGATTTCTGGATTGTACACTGCAAAACAGTAATGACTCTCACATGAAGAAAGAGCCTGTAGTCATCTTCTTCCAACAGTAACTTAAAATAGGTATTTTTTTTTCACCTCCCAATCCTGCCTTGCCTTCTCTTTGGTCTTAAATTTCACCTTTAAGTACTGCTATCAAAACATTCACATACTTGAATAACATCTGCTGCCAGCGAGAGATGAAGCTGCCTCTGTTATCCCTTCAGTGGGGCAAGGCAGAGGAGAGCACAGTGTTTTGCAACCCCATTTTGCCTGGGGGATTTTACCAAGCTGCAGTACACTACACGCACTGCGTCTCCAAGGCTCTGTTACGTACCGGAAATACCGTGAAGCCAAGGTAGTATTCTATGAGAATACAGCCGATGCTCCAAACATCACATGGCTGTGCCCATCCCAGTGCTGTGAGAAAAAAGCCCAGAAACATCAGGGTTAGACCAGGCTACAAGCAATCCAACAGCTCAAGGAAAGCGCATGTATTTCTGTAGCACAGCTGAACAGTATAAAAAATCTTCCAGGTGAAAGAGATCTGCGTAACACACTTCAAAAAGCTCATTACTACTATGAAAACATGAAGTATTCTGCCCAGCCAGGCACAGTCCTGAACAGACTTTTTTTTCAGTTTTCCAACTGTGATCACTGCTTAATTTATCAGCACTGAATGGAAAAGCATGCTATCTCTCTTTATCAGCACTGAATGGAAAAGCATGCTATCTCTCTTGGACCAAAAAGAATACTGACCTAAAATAACTTCAGGAGCCCTGTAATGTCTTGTAGACACCAGAGTGCTGTGGTGTTCGTCATCGTATGTTGCGCTCCCGAAATCCACCACTTTGATGTCTGGATTTTTTAGTGTGCGCTCATCACGTTTCTGAAGTGAAACATACCTTGAGATGCAAACGATGACAAACCCAGAAGGCTACAGAGAAGAAGGGAAGATGACAGTGACTTACCAGTCTGGGGTTATATTCTTCTACATAATCAGAATGGACGAATAAAATGTTTTCCGGTTTCAGATCCGTATGTGTCAGTTTGTTCAAATGTAAAACTGCAAGGTAAGAAATAGGTAAGTTAGCAGTCCCATGGAGAAAATTAAGCGAAGATGAAAATAACATACATACATATACTTACAGTTCACAGATTTGCAAATCTGATATGCCATTTGTCTAATTTGGTCCAACCTAAATGGCAAAAAGCCATTCTCTTTAATAAAGTCGTAAGTACTGAGTCCCAGTAACTCAAAAACAATGCAGACATGGCCGTGATGCTCAAACCATTCCAACATCTGGACACAGCGACTGCAGAAAGCAGGAAAATAAAAATTTCAACAGTAAGTAATACATAATGCTGAGAGGTGTACATCACATGACATGGAGAGCTTCAAGATCACTGGTGTTACAGAAAGTGACATCAGAGCAATCTTGAAGACAAAGTAAGGTACTTACTACGTATTGCTGGGGTCTGATGCATTTAAATGTTCCAAGACTTGTACTTCTGAACGTGCTGCGTCAGAGTACCTATCCACATTTTTTACTATTTTCACAGCTACATGTCTACCTCCCCTGAAACAAACAGGTTAAACAGTCATTAGAAGGAGTAGTTTCAATTGTTCCTTAATTACCACCATATACATTGTATAAAAACAAACGTAACCTATGAACCTTAGCAGATAAAGCATTTTCAGAGAACAGCTTAGGCAAGAAGTAACTTTAAAGTCCTTACAGACTGCCCAATGCGTTGCTCATTTATATCCTTTTATATTTAAGCACAAACGTGTGCTTAGTTCACCTCCAGGGGTGCAGCAAAAACTCTCCAACATCAAACAGCATATGATCCAAAGAACACGCAAGAAACCTTCCCCAAAACAAATCTGTTACGCCAAAACGTTAAGAAATACACAGAGCAACATACGAGCCAGTAAGGATAAAAATAAAATCTTTCTGAGAGCACTTAATGAACTGTGATTCTATCAGTCCAACAACTGACAGGTTTTTAGAAAAAAGACTTACGCTTTGTGATCAATGCATTCCACCACTTTTCCAAAAGCTCCTTCACCCAAAGTAGCAACAATCTCATCTATAAAGAAAACAACCGTCAGCTCCAGAAGTCGTTAAGTTACTCAGCCATTAAAAAAACCAAGCAAATAAAAATAAACAGAAAAGGCTAAATCTATCACTGAAGGTTATTCTAGACTGTGCTTCTTTAAAAATATCAATAACTAGGTTGAGAGATGTTATTGGACAACTCTCATCAATGCACATTTACAGGTATCTCATTCTAACACATTAATTTCATTTACTAATTTGGGATTAAAAAAAAAAGGGGGAAAAGGAAAAAGAAATACATTTAAGTTCTCCAGAAGAAAATTAACGATCCCCCCTCCCCCAAATAAAACAGAACAAAAAGAAAGAAAGAAAAGGCTGCCAAAGCCCCCTGGCATCTTATGCTAAAAGAAATTACTATATCTGAATGTTAATAAATTTTGAAAAATATTCTATACATCTTGCACTTAGTACGTCTCCACTCTGACAGATCAGGTGACCCTCCTCATCATCCTCTACACTCCTGGATCTTTTCCTTCGAAGACTCCTCTGGAACGGCACCGAGATGGTCAGGCCAATCAATAAACCCGAGTCAATTCAGGTCAGAATACGAAATTCATTCAGCGGGGAGATATTCAGGCATTCAGATACACGCCAGGCCACAAACGGTTGGCAGGAGCAATTTCAAATTCAGTCCCCGGAAATTCACAGGGCACATAGTTTATGTTACAGGAGAAAAACATGGCAAGGAACAAATTTTCAGATGAGATACTCAAAGTGGCAAGGCAATAAATACAACATTGTTTTTTCTTTTAAAAGATTGGTTCACTGAATTTTCATTTATGTTTTCAGTGCCCTTATTTCTTATAGCAAAAGGATTTAATAATTACGTTATACAGGACAGCCTCATGGCTAAGTGAAAATACCCCTCTTAAGTAATTGAGTTTAAAATTACTGCTTTGAATATTCATTAACAGCTTTTTTTTTTTTTTTTAAATCACAAAAATACCATATATATTTACTTCAGGCTGTCCCAGCTGAAGATATTAAACTATAAACCCTATCTTCAGCTTTTTCAAGTTAAATATACGATAACGATTAGAAAAACTGCCCTGCTAGTGGACAGTCACTGTACTTATCTAATTCTACAGATTTCATTCAGACCTAAAGCATTTTATTTAATCGGTACCAAAAAATGTGTGAAAACCTAACATTATCTCCTTGCTATTTCAGTGATACGTACTCAAAAGCAAGTCTGAAAGTTCGCATTTGGACTTTTGAGTAGGGCAGAAATAAATATCTGACGTCATAATGCATTTTTAAGGCACGAAAGTGATGCCTGCAGAAATATTCCATTTGATGGTTTCTACTCATTAACTGGCTCAAATTACAGCCAGCGAACAAAAGACAAGCTATATTCCATAGTGTTACAAGCATAACTAAACAGCATATGTTCTCTAAAAGATCAAAAAACAAAACAAAACAAAACAAAAAACCAACACAAACTAACAAAAAGAATTATCAATCAATACAAACAAAAGGGCTAATCTACTAACATCATTCACAGACTTCCCCAAACTCCCCAATTACTGCTGCCCAGCTGGGAACTTATCTCCCTAAGACACAACCCCCTCAGTTATAACTGGACAAACCACCTGTGAGTGATGGTGGTGGTGGCAGGCGCTGTGCTGCGTCCTGTGCAACTGCTTGTAGCTGCCCTTCCCGCTGCGGCCCAAGGACCTGCTGCCGTGTTGGCGGTGGGCGCTCTTGTGCTCGCGGTGCTGCTGCCCGCTGTCACAGCCCTGTGTGTGCTCAGTCCTGTACTCCTCCACATAGCGCCTCCGCTTGTGGTGCTCCCGGTCATTTATGGATTTGGTTTCTGAACATTTACTACAAGCAAAAGAACACGTAAACCCAATTAAATCAATTCCTGCATCCCCATAAAGAGTTGACCGATTTGGAAGGGTCCCTTAAAGACCACCTAGGCCAATGCCTCTGCAATGAATAGACTCCTACAGCTCCATCAGGCACTCGGAGCCCTGTTCAGTCTAATCTCAACTGTCTCCAAGGCATCCATGACCTCTCTGGAGAACCTGTGACAGCATCTCACCACCCTTACTGTAAAAAGCTTTTTCCTTATACCCTGCCTAGATCTCTCTTCCTTTAGTTTAAAACCATTTCCCCTTTTTCTATTCACCACAAACCCTGATAAAGCCTGTCCCTTTCCCTCTTACAGCCCCTTTTTGGGTACCACAAGGCCAACTTCAGGTGTCTCCGGAGCGTCCTCCAGGCAGAACAGCCGCAGCTCTCAGCCTGCCCTGGTAGGATAGGAGTTCCCTATCTCGGGCCATTTTTGTAGTCCTAATCAAGCCATTTCTTTCTGCTTTTGGCAGCAGAACATCAATCTCAAACACGTCCACCACAAGCTGCCGCTGTGTTCTCCAACAGCCATACGAGTACAGTCACCCGCACGCACAGGCCCGCAGGTACCGGAGTGCCGCAGCCCTCACCTGTGAGGCCTCTTGGCCACCTCCTGCCTGTAGTGCCTGCCCTCCTGGGCACCGCTGGGCGATTTGCGCTTCCCATGGCGCTCACTGCCGCCGCGCCGCCTACCCCAACCGGGCTGGTCGCTGCGCTCGTAATTTCCCATCTGAAACCCACACAACATTTTGTCCTTCACACCACACGCCTAGACGGGGCGTCCCCACGGAGCGCAGCACAGCACAGCACACGTCCAGCGCACCCACCTTCATCCTCCCCCCCCAAACGGTCGCAGCCCCAGCTCCCCACAGCCCAGCCCAGGGACACGCCGAGCCCCGTTCCCCCACTGCGGCGGCCGAAGCCATTTTCTCTGTCGCGGGACGAACACGCAACATGGCGGACCTGGGAGGCGGGGGCCTAGAGGCTCTCGACCGGGGCCTCGCCGACGGGCAGGAGGCGGCCCCAGGCCCGCCGCCGAGCAGCGCGACTCGCTCCCGTACCTCAGCAGCCCGGGTTGCCGCCACGCTCTCCGACTGCCGTCGCTACGCTCTCTTGAGCCGTCGCTACCGCCGCAACTCAACCACCCTCAGCTCTCGGCCGCGACAAAATGGCGGAGCCTTATGGCGCGAGCCGTGCGTCACACAACGGGGCAGGGCGGAGGCGGAGCCATAAAGTGGGCGGAGCTCCCTCGGTGCCCCGCCCACCCACCGCCGCCCCGCTGCGCGAACCCACTGTACAAAGACAAATGAAAACGTCGTGTTCAGCCCACCGGCAGAGAGTGTTCTCTGTCTGGTACGCTGCTTTCACCTAGCGGGAAAAATTAGACAGGGTACTACCCTTTCTGCAAAAATGGTAAAGTAAGGCACATTAGTGTTGACACGGGAAGGTTTCAGAAAGCTGGCAGTCTGCAAAGGCCATTGCTTCAACATCATACTGCTATGAAAAATGACAGAAAAGAGAGATTTGCAAAAATATATATATATCTATATATATTTGAAAGTCTTATTTTACAAGCAGGCAACACTTGGAAGTCAAAATAAAGTCAATAAAAGTCAACGCACACCCTGGAAACACAGGCTTGAGGAACCCAAGGCTCCCCTATGACAATTCATAAACAACATCACAGCTCCCAGAGCCCCGTGCTCAGCACACCAAGGTACAGCCCAGCTCCGTAACCCTGTCTGATGGCACACCAAACACCCCATCCAGCAGTCAGTCTGACCAGCCTCTACAGAATGTGTCCCAGCTTGGTGGCTACAGAGCAAAAGGGTTGGCATGAATGGTGATATCTTTGATGCGAACATCATTCAGAGGTCGATAGGTTTTCTCATTCACAGGCAGCTTCTCCAGCTCATCCAAGGTCTCCAAGCCATCAATCACTCTGGAAGAAAAGCAGAACCGCTCGGAATCTCCTATCAATCAACTTAACTTCCACAACAGAGGCATCTCAGAACACCTTACAGCTAGCTAAGTGTCGTAGTGCAAGGACTCCACAAGTAAACGATACAAATAAGGCAGCCAAACACTGCATATGGCACATAACCTATGACTAACCATAGCAGCAGCAAGGTACTGGCCACACCGAACTTCTCTGTGCATTATTGAAATCCATGGCTGGAAAATCAATTTCCAAACCCGTGATAATAATCACTAACTTCTCACTCAAAGACAAAATTAGTAAGAACCATCCATAATTGCGTAAATCTAATGGCACAATGGCGTTCATTGCCACATTCATCACTGCACAGATAGGCCAGCAAAGTTCCTGTCAGAGTGTCTATTCATCTCTAAGATGTCAAAAAAACCCCAACTTTTGATCACACCTCTAAACAAACAACAATGAAAGAAACACCAGTGCCCAGGTGCCTATGAACAATGCAAGTGGAAGGGAACAGCATTTTCAGTTTTCACCCATTTCCTTTGAATATCTAAGTCCCCCCCAAAAGAACCCACTTTTGCTCAGTAAGATTCACAGACTTAAAAACAAACAAAAGAAAAAATATTACCCTGATTTTGAGATCAAAAAAGCAGTATTTGAAAGACTCAAAACCTAAACGTGCTTTAAGGATGGTATATTACTAGCAGCTTCTATTAACATGAGAATATTTTAGACTAACAATGCATCTTAATCCCATCTCATGAATTGCCAGTTCCAACTACGCAGAAACATGATGACCATTCACATTTCCAGTTCCACAGCAGACCCTTGCTTCTCAGCAAACTAATCAGTGCCTAGTTGTTTTGGAGTTTATGTAGACCAGGCTACAGCCATTTGGGCATGGTACAAGACAGCAAGCAGCAACAATGAGCTTAAAGAAAGAAAAAACCCACCACCAACTCAGCTCTATTCTTAAGGTAATTTTTAATATGCCAATTTCCACTGATTTCCCTACCCTCATGACAAATGGAGCAGCATTTTGCAATGACTGATCCTGGTGACAGTGGAAAGCACACTTTCAAATATACACATCCAATATTTTGAAGAACTTCAGATCTGAAGCATCTAAATTTGCATTGCATGTACTTCTACATATACATGTCAATTAAACACTATGACAAGGAGGCATACAGGAGGGTCTCTCACTTCCCAAAAACAGTGTACTTCATATCCAGGTGTGGTTGCTTGCCATAAGTGATGAAGAACTGCGACCCATTGGTATTTGGACCATTGTTTGCCATTGAAACCACCCCACGGACACTATGCTGAAAGACAGAAAAAAAACTCGAATAACCAATCTCCCATGAAAGCAGAACTGCAACACGTACAATGTGTTCAGTGACATGACCACCAAATCACAGAATGGCTTGGAATAGATCTTAAAAGCTCACCCAGTACCACGCTGTGCTGTAGGCTGGCTGCCACCCATCAGATCAGGCTGCTCATGGCCCATCTAACCTGGCCTTGAGCACCTCCAGGGATGGAGCATCCAAGTGATACTCTTCCTCAGCATCATCATTACTATTAAAAACTTATCTAGTTGGTTTCAACCAACAACATGGCAACATAATTATGGTATCACAACTCACTAGCTCCTCAAATCTACTTCCACAATTAAAAGACACTTTTTCTGCCTCTGATGCATTAAAAATACTATGTTACAAATTGTTTCTACTTGTTTTCCCTGATGAGGACACTCAAAACTAACACCAATTAATAAGATGCCTATCTGTTTTAATAACTCCTCCTTGATTATACTTCATTTTGCAATTACAAAATGAGTATTTAATCCAGCACAACACTGAGCATACGCCAACCTGTAAAGAAAATTAATCTGAAAACAACGGCACATTGAGAGCACAAAAATACCTTTAGGTATTCACTGAATTCATCTTCAAACTTCTTGCCCCAGATGCTGGTTCCTCCTTTCCCAGTGCCTGACAAAGAAATATCACAATACACTGCTGGATTTTGAGATTGGAAAATGCAGCAATAATATAACATTGTAAAACTTTACAATAAAGGCCCCAGATACATCCTAATGTGCTTGAGCCAGGAACCGGGTTCTTGTGTCTTAATAACAAGAAGAGCCATAATTCTGTGTAATTGCATTTCCAGAAGCAAAACAAAAAAACCTGATATATCCTCAAATTAAACTCAGTACAAACAGACGCATATTTGAATTAGACATTCTCCCAAACAGCTGATGCTGCCTAGCTCATTTTCCCAATTGCTTTAGAGGCAATGTAGCTCTCCAGGCAGAAAACAGAGAAACCATAGCAGCAACTTTTACTGTTCAACTGCTGGTGAATCAGCAGAGCCATCATAATCAATGGAAAGAGCAGGAAAACTAAAATTTACAGAATGCTCTACTACTGCAATAGATCATTTAGAACCAGGTAATGGCTGCTTCTCTGTAAGCTCACATCATTAAAACCTCTATTAGCAGTAGAAGATATTTTAAATTAACTTTATTTACATTTTGTTTTTATAATTATTACCGATGCTTACAATTTCTTTGTATTTCTTGATATTTTAGTTATGTTTTACTTTGATATTTATGTATATTTTTCTACAGCGAGACTGCGACAAAAGAATTTACCTAATGGATCCCCCGTCTGAACCATGAAGCCCTTTATATTCCGGTGAAACACACAGCCGTTGTAGTAGTTACTAGCACAAAGAGCCAGGAAATTCTAAGGATATGAAACAAACCACATCAATAAAACAGAAGTAACATTCCCCCTTACTAAAATGGCAAGAAAAAACAGAAAAAACACTTCTGCCTTTGCTTGGCTTTAGGTTTTTGCCACTGCTATAAACAGTACCAAACACAATAAAAAACATCTATAGGTTATATGAAAATCAGGCAACAGTGAAGTCATTTGCACATAACATCAACAGATAAGATGAGGTCAGAAACAGGTCTGATGGGGCTTCACTAGTCATAGAGTAGCTGGGGTTGGAAGGGTTAAAGATCATCTTGTTCTAACTCCCCTGCAGTGCGCACAGGTGGACATCATGAGGTAAAACAAATCCAAGTGCAAGCTCTTGCACCTGGGTTGTGGCAACCCCTGCTTATCAGCACAAGATGGGGGATGAAAGGACAGAGCCAAGCCCAGCCAAAATGGACTTGGGAGTACCGGGCAGGGGCACTGGATAGATGACCTCTAAGGGTCCCTTTCAATAGAAAAGATTTTATCATTTTAAGATCTATCATCAAAAGAGAAAGAGCTGTAAAACCACAAGCCTTTTTTACAAGCTATATTTTTAAGACACTGCAGTTTGTCCTTAGAGCTCCTGTTTCCTTGGTTTCCCAAAGAATAAAGTTAAGATGGGTTGAAGAATCACTCTTTGGTGAAACCCACTGAGTAATGCAATAGAACGGACATACAGAATTATGGTTAAGTTGCTCCTTTGACACTGTCACAGACAAAAAGGATTTAAATAAGGTTGACTGCACAAAGCCGTCTCACCTGAACAAATAAGAGGACTGAGGCATGTCCATAAGCATCATTTGCATTCACATTTTTATTTTGTAAAATGCGTTTTGTAATAAATAACTTCAAGCCTCATTTTTTGTTTAGTTAAAAAGTAGCCAATTTCAGTGCAAGCTTAATTTTACTGCAGAAAAGAAAACTTGGGGTCTCTGACAAACTTGGAGTGATTCTTAATTCTTTTTAAGAAGTCCCATCTGTTTGAGTGTGAGCAAACCAAGGCAAACGTGGGAATCCCAGGCCACGTCCCATGTTTCATCCTAAGGGCAAAGGACACTTTGAAATGCACAAGAAATTAGAGAGAAACAACTCTCAAGTAAATACTTCTTGGTGAGAAACAGGCAGCAGAGCTTAGGCTCTATGACACAGCACACAAGAATACACTCTGCAACAGGTTCCATGCCAACTTAAAATGGAATATTCCACTATTTGAAAATGTTTGCTGGAACAGCCACTTCTTCCATTCTATAGTCTCCACCATTACTGCTTTGCTTCAATACTACACAATCCCACTCCTGTTATTCAACTTACTTCACATGTTTTTGGCGTTCGCTCACAGAACAGTTCAATTTTAATGTCTCCTACATCAGTGTGCAGCGTGACAGCCTGAGAAAGAGTCACAAAACATAATTAAGCCAGCAATGAAGTGCTAGGAGCTGCAGATCAGATTTATTTCCTGCTCCTATCATGAACAGGAACAAGTTCCCCATTACACACAACCGTTGTGTCAGTATTTGGCCACAGGCAACCTACTGTCACAAAGCTTCCACATTTCCACTGAAATCACCAGAATGCATTGCTGTCAGTTACTTTCAGGCCAAACCAAGTTTGCCATAACAATGCAGAAGCTCCAATTTGTGCTGTTACACTTCAGAGACAAATTGTTCATCTGTGAATTAGACCTACACTGCCATTTCACTGCAAATTTGAAGAATCAAGGTAATACCTACTTTGGGAGGTGCATATACCCTACTGGTTTACAACCAGGGGAAGAAGTGATGGGCATTATTAGACTAGAGCATTCAGAGTGATCAGGCTAACTCTGAACGGCACTACACACAGCGTGCCCCCACAGACAAGTAACTCTACAAAACTTCACATTTCTCTTGAAAATTTATAAACAATCTTCACAACATTTTAAACGCCACCTACCCAGCCACTAAGGCATGGGTCTCCAACCTTTTGGCATGCCTGGGCACATCGGCAAACAGAAATTGTCTTGAGTTGCATATAAAATATATAATATTTTATATATATAATATATTAAAGTAAATAAGTAAGAGAACCTTTTTATAAATACATTTTTATTATTTAAAAAAATAGCAACAAAAACATAAAACCAGTGGGATATTTGACCCTGTTTTTCTCAGGCATAATTTAAGTTTAAATTTCAAATGCTGTTTTGGTTTGAAACAGCACAGGTAAGTTGATTTTCACCTTGAAGACATACATTTAACTCACTTAAATGAGTGGTCAAATCCACCAAAAATGCTAAATGTGTGAGCTATTTTTCATCTTCAAATCTGACACAAATTTTCATTTCGATTCAATAAAGGACTTATTTCAAATCATAAAGTCTTCTTAGCATTTTGCTCTGACTTAGCCACCTTCCCTCAGAAAAGTAAACGATGTCCCCATAAATCAGCACCAATGCTTTTAAGGAACTCCCAGAATTGAGAACGATTGGACTCTATGAAATTCACGGCTTTGATGACGACTGGCACGTCGTCACCATTCTTAAAGCTTTCACACGTGAATTTTCTTTATGTATGATGCATTGATATTTCACCAAACTGAGTTGCCAGTGACCACTGCATCATCTTCTATTAACTTTATAAATCCCTCTCTTTGACCAACCATCACCAGGGCACCATCAGTACCTATACCAGACATGCTAACACAGGTTAAAGAATATCACTTTAATGTGTTTTTTTTACTGCTTCATACAAATCAAAAGATTTAATTAGTGGCACCACATAACCCATTTATTCAGCAACATTATATTCGTCATCAATAGCTCTAATATAAATGCAAGCTGAGTTGTAGCTGTACCACATCAGTACTTTCATCTATTGTCAAATAGAAAAAAAAAAAAATTCTTTTGATAGATTTTCCTGCTTCCTCCATTTGCCAGGCTAGTGAGACAAACCGATTTCAGAAAAATCAATTTTTTTTTTTTTGTCTGGACAAATTATATCTGCCATAATTAGCATAACTACTTAATAAACTCATCAAAAAACAGCTCCGAGTTTTTTTTCTCAACCCACGTAACTAGCTTTTATTACAGAGTCTGCTTAACCTGTAACTTTTTAAAAAGATTTTGTTGCACAGGAGAAGCATCTGTAATAGCCACGAAGAGTAGCAGTACACACAGTTTAAGACACACACTCCTGTCTCGAGCTGTAGCTTGCCGAACTCAGAAGCCTCTAAGCATACAGTGGAGTGTACACGCAGAGGGCCCCGTGCCTGCATCTCCAACAAAGCTTTGGCAGGAAAAGAAGCAAACCGGTATTAGCCAAACAAGGTTTGAAATCGGCTGTCTTAGGACTGAGAGTCTGACTGTATTTCAGGCTGATACAACGGTAAGTTGACCCGTTTTCTTTTCGACCTTATCTTCGGAAGTCTAAAATGGAAACCTGCACTTATCACTGCAAATTCTACACAGCTCAGTGCACAACGCATCATCTGAGAAGCAGCCATTCGCTTTCCAAGACGCGAACATTTCCGAAAGCACAGATGTAAGAAGTGCTATAGTTCTTACCATGCCTGCTCATCAAAAAGCTGAGGTTGATGGATATACCGCAAACGCCTGCAAACGAAACACACAATGCTCGGCTCACCCTTCCCCCAGCCGCCAGTTCTTCTCGATTCCGAAGCGCCCGTGCGACTCCGCACTTTTTCACTACAGCGTCACGGGCAGCGACCGCAAGCAACCGCGGGTTGAGCCACGCTCCGCCGGTACCACGCGGGCGCCCCCCAGCTCAGCATGGGCTCCGCACGCCCTGCGCCGCACAAAGGCCGCCCCTGGGCCCGGCGGAAGCGGCGGAGCCGTGAGGAGCTCCGCCCCGCCGAACCGCCCGCCTCGGCCAGAGCCGAGCGCTGCTCCTGGCGGCCCTGGGCCTTCCGCCCGCCACGCTCAGCTCAGCGCGGAGTTCCGGGCGGAGCGCTTGCTGGCCCGACCCCCGCCCTCTTCCCCTCCCCGCAGGTTCCGCATGCTGCTGCTCTGCCGGCCCCTCCGTCTCATCCGCGCTGCGGGCCGCCCGCCCTCCCGCTCCATCATGAACCTCAGCGAGCTCGTTCCCGCCCTGAATGACTTCGCTTCCCTCTCCCTGGCTGAGAGCTGGGACAACGTGGGGCTGCTGGTGGAACCCAGCCCTCCCCACGCCGTGCGCACCCTGCTCCTCACCAACGACCTCACCGAGCAGGTGATGGAGGAGGCCGTGCAGAAGAACGCAGACCTCATTCTCTCCTATCACCCTCCCATCTTCGCTCCGCTCAAGCGGGTTACGTGGAAGACCTGGAAGGAGCGGCTGGTGGTCCGCGCTCTGGAGCACAGGATCGGGATCTACTCACCACACACAGCGTACGATGCCGTACCGCATGGAGTCAACAACTGGCTGTCCAAAGGACTCGGTGAGGCTGGTCAAAACAAAACGACACCGGGTGCAGTTACTCAGCGGTATTCGGCACATCCATCAAATTATCCCAGGCGGGAGCCTTGCCTCCCTGCTTTCCTTTCCTCGGTGTGCTACAAACCAGCTATGAACACCAGAGGACATTTCCAGGTGCCTGGATGCTATTGGACACAGAACAGGTGCAGTGCATTTACTGTCTATCCTGGTTAAAGAGGTTAGGCTGCTGAGTTTAAATCACTGCCTGTAATTCATAAACTTATAGATAATCTCATTGTTCCTACATGACTTAAAGTATCTGAAATTCTTTTAGACTTATCTTCTGCTGTGGCTTATAAACGAGAACAGGTGTGCTTTTTCCAGCCTGCTTTACAAACCAGAAATGATTTTTTGGTACAATTGTTAGGATAAAACTTGAATGGTATGAAGAGTAACAAATTATACGTATCATTCAACTTATTTGCACTTAGCAGGACAAGAGTCCTGAGTTCTAGAAAAAATCTAGGAAAAATGGATTCAAGTGCAAAATCTGTCTAAAACTGCACCTCTTTTGGTGCATAAATCAGTATCAGCCACAGCATTCAGCTTTCTAAAACCAGTCCTTGCTCTGTTTTCTTAGGTGCCTGTACTTCTGTTCCACTGCACCCATCAACCGCTCCAAGCTATCCGACTGAGGGCACTCACCGGGTGGAGTTCTGTGCAGACACTGTGGAGCATCTAGAGACAGTGCTGTCCAAAATCAAAGACATCTCAGAGATCTTCTGTCTCACCACTCTCCCTGTCAGGTATCTGCTTCACTCTCTAATGTTGTGTTCTTTCTGTTGCTAGAAAAGTTGCTGGAACTGTGTTTTAACGTTTGTAAGCACTACAGTCCTCTGTGCAGTGCTGCCATTTTTCTTCAGCAACAGATCCATAAATTCAAAGGATAACTATCTCCTTCTGATCAATCCATGTTATACTAAATAGTAACTATCAACTTCATGTAGCATCACAGGGATTAAAGTGGTAAAGAACGTTAACAGTAAATACAAAATAAGAACAGTTGAGTTAAATTCCCAAGTATGTTTCCTCCAGGAGAGCAGACTAAGCTAGACTGTTACATCTTTTTTTCCCCTTTTTCTCTGCAGCAGGCTTCTGCAACAGAACACCTTTATTTTCTATGAATATGATGCTGAAATTTTATCTATCTCTTAGCAAGTACCAAACACATCTTTCCTCAGGGTTGATGGGGAGGAGCAAACACGAGTCAGTCTGAACTGCTCTCAGAAAGCACTGCTGGAAGTGGTGGCATTATTGTCCCAGAACAGCCTTCTTTATCGCAAGACTGAGATTCTCTTATTACAGAAGGTAATAAAATTGTATATTGCTTCCAATGAATATAGTTTGTGTGAGCTGAGTGCCCTAAAATTTCCAGCAACTGCTGGCATTACAGGTTTCCTTTGCTGCCTATCAGTTCTCTGAAATATGGCCCGTGGGCATTTAAAGCCATGTCCATTTTCCAAAACAATGGAAATAACTACATGGCCTGAACTAATTCTAAAATCGGTTCTAACAGCCCGTGTAGTTAGTATGTTACATTCAGTAACATACATATTTTTTCCAAAATGTTGAGAATTGTTTCCCCTTAATGCCCAATATACTTATTTTTGTACACTACGGAAAGTAAGGTGAACTTCTGGAGTCAGCTTTCTCACAGTAATTTGAATTTTTCTCTTCAGCCTCTTCTTCCGCATAGTGGAATGGGACGTCTCTGCACACTGAGTGAGCCAGCCTCCTTGTCAGACATAACTGAGCGCATCAAAAGCCACCTAAAATTACCCCACGTCCGCCTCGCCGTGGGAGCAGGCAAGACACTTGGTAATCAAACCTGCCAGTAACACTGCCCATCTGAACGGGAAAAAAACACACACTGCTTGTATTCCAGGAATTCAAGCAGTGTGTGTGTGTGTGTGTGTAGGTGTGTGAGACACTGCTGCCTTGGACAGGTTTACTTGCAAACAGTATGAAGGGCTGTCAAAGACAAGAGGCAGCCTTTCAGAGTGTTGGTGATAAAATCATGCAGAAATAACATTGTCTGGAACGTCATTTTTGACTGGAAAATGTTTTATGGTGGTCATCATTGTGAAGCAGGCACAGCATGAGCTGAATATGAAATACCACTTTTCATAATTCACACAATGACTGAAGATATTTTCCTCCATTATATTAGACTTAAGTGTGTACTGCCTCATAATATGACCCCTTTTGCAACTGACTGTTAAATTTACCAGCACCTTAAAACTGTAAAGATGCTTTGTGGTATCCTTCTGAACAAACAACCATCAATGTTTTTATGAGAGAAAAATAGCAACAGAGAAGGTAAGCCATCTGTGTCAAACTGTGGGTCACTACTACAACTTGGAGCAAGTATCCTTTCAGCCTAGTTATGAATCTTAATTTCCAAGAAACACAGCTGTTAGAATTCTTGAGAGCAAATTTGTTGAGAAATCTTTGCATCTTATGGGACAGAAACCTTGTTGCAAGCCTCTTAGCACTATCAATTGCACTTGAATCTATTTTGAAGTTCCTTGTTACGATATGGGATTGCAGCATATGGTTCTGCCTATACCTACAGTAGTTATTTGGCAACACACTGTAAAATCTTAATTGAATTTGAAAATCATGTGCCTTCCTCCCCACCCCTTTGTCAGGAACATAACATATATATGGAAAATTAAATTTTGTCAGTATGCCATAGCTTAGAATCAGCAGTCATAGCAAAAACATATTTTAATGGAATGGAGGAGCACTCAGCTTTGCACTGAAATCAGCCTTCTGAAAGCAGTTAGGAGACAGTACATCTCAGAATGAAAATGCTGCCTTAATGGCATTGTTAGTTTGGAAAACAAATACAGTGGAGCTTCAGAGTCCTGGAAGGAGCAGCAGCCAATTAGCTGCTCCTTCCAGTTCAAATACCTAAGTAACAACACCTCACTAAAAAGAACTAATCTGCAGTAGCCAACAACCAGCCATGCTGTTGGAGTTCTCTGCCAACTCTCCCAACCCTTGTAGAAAAATTCCTACCCATCTTTTTGGCACACAGAAGATTTTGCTTATTATTACAGATGCTCTGGGCCTTTGACTCTTACAAACTGACTTTTGTGTCTTTTCCTCCAATAAATTTACACTGACCCTAAAATTAAGGTATTGATATTGTTTTACAATAACTAAACTGACATGAGGGCTAAACAAAGGAAAAGTAGTTAATTATGGCACCTTGTATCCTGCAGATTCTCCAGTGAAGAAAGCTGCTCTGTGTGCTGGTTCTGGGAGCAGTGTCCTGAAGGGAATGGAAGCTGACCTCTATCTCACAGGTAAGAGACTTGTTTTGTTATCTTTATAAAAATAGGCACTAGGAAAAGAGAAAAGAGAGGGTTGTCTGGCTGTTGAAAGATTTGGCAAGAAGAATTACTTGTTAGAACTGAGAAACAGTCAATTACTGGAATAACAGAAAAATAACATTAGGGTAGAGGTAACATGGGTCAGATGGCTGTGTCACATAGTGATGGTTATTTGAAGTAAGCGGTACTATACATTCTTTTTTGTTTTTCCCCCCCCCCCCCAACACAAAATCAGTGTTTGATGGCAGAATCTCTTGCAAATTTCAGTGTTTCTTCTTTGGCAAGATACAAGTTGTTTCCCCAGTTCCCTACAGAATTCTCAAATAGAAAGTGGGAAACAATGTTGTCTACAGAATCTTTACAAGGAAGATGTGTAACAACAGCCACTGTATCTGCCCAAAAGGACACAGTCCATTATCCTCTTTCTGACAGGGCAGAGGATACTTTCCACAGCCTGCTCCACAACCTGAAGAATGCCTTGCATTGTGTGCTTAATTCAGTCAAGTTCTTTGGCAAGGCACATCTGGTCTCCCCTCTAATATATAGCACTACAGAGCTGACCCTCAGACAGTTCTTTGCACAGCTTCCTCAGTTGCTGACCTTCGTCGTAGCAACCCAGTTGAGCAGATGCATGACACTTCCAAAACCCACTCTCTGCACACCATTTCCTGCCCTAAGTAGCAAAATACACCACTATTCAAAGACAGCACAGAACTTCTGTGGTTTTGTCTCAGAAGTACATTGGGGATATCAGCTGAATGTCCTTCAAGGGACACCATAATAGGAGCATGCTGTACTCTGACACTGAGCAGATGGCATTGCTTTTTCCCTTATGGACTTCTTCCCAGCTTCTAGCTGAGATTCTGAACACGTTACACAAATACATTATTCACCTCAACTGCAAGAAATTTACATGATGTTTCTTTCTTCACATGGCAGGAGAGATGTCCCACCATGATGTTCTGGATGCAGTTGCCAATGGTATAAGTGTTATTCTGTGTGAACACAGTAACACTGAGCGAGGCTTCTTGTCAGAGCTGCGTGACATGCTAACGATCCACCTACAGAACAAAATCAACATCATTCTGTCTGAGAAGGACAGAGATCCCCTCCAGGTGGTTTAAGAGGGAGGAGGGGGAAAAAAAAAATGAAGTGAGAGAGCAGAGTCAAGAGTTCAATAGCATCCCGCACAGAGCTATCCAAATGCAAGCTGAATGAAGATGCTCTGAATTGGTCAGTATAGCATTGCATTCTGTGTTCACCCGATGGTTGGACTATAAATTGTCATCTATCAGATACATAATGAATGCTTGTTTCAGGCTACTGAAAGATGATTTACTCAATAAATGGGCTCTCACTTGAATAAATTTACTGTTACAATATACTATTGTTACATATATTTAATAACCACACCACTCAAGGCTTAGAGGGGCAAAATATAAAAATCTGACTTAGCTCCACTTTCAAGCATACACAGCAGTTCTCCCTTACTGTGGCTGTGTCAACACAAGTCTCTCAAATTTTAGCCAATAAAGCCCTGGATAATAGCTAAAGCAGGACTGACCATGGTTTGCATTAACAGTTTTAATAAGACACAGCTCATAAGTATATGCAGAGCACAATTCAGGCATTTGGTGCTAGTATTCAATTGCAAAACCTACCATTAATACAAAAGTAAGGGTGGTGGTTGCTTTGGTTTTTTTTTATTTGTTTTTCAGTGGAGGGTCCCTCTATTGAAAAACTTTGGAAGTATTTTTTTTTAAATATGCTATAACACTTCCCATTCTCAGGCAGATTAATTAAATATGTTTTTGCTTTCTTTTAAAAACAATTCCTATAGTTGTGGCTCTCAATTACAGGATTACTACAACTGAACAAGTAGATTTCCGTTATCAGTAATGACTGGAAGGGTTTGATGTTTCATTTGCTTCCTTTTTCTTTTTTTTTTTTAAGAAAAAAAATCTCCCTGTTAAGTATCTTACTATCTCTGCATTACATGCACACTAGAATATTTAAACAGGTTGAAAATACTTCCATAGCAAATTAACAAACATCTGAGTGGCACCTTTTTAAATTTAGTTAATAAAACTGGCTTATTTAGCTAGGTCTTTTCTGTGTTGCATACAGCAACTCAGTGCATTTGAGTCCTGTGTGAACCTGCAACTTAGACTGAAAACTGCATGAAGATTTAACTGCAGTAGTTAAAATCATCAGGATTCTAGGAAATATTTTTCCATAACTTCGACTCTCTCAGCAGAGGGTCTAAGAGAAGACCATGCCTTTCCTCAGTGGAGCACTGCTAGAAGTACCCTAATAAAATGTCAAGATGCTGTGCTACCTAGACTTTCCTAGTGGTCTTACACACAGACACTGCCTTGGAGGCAAATCTCTCCAGGACTTTGATGTGAGGCTCTGACCAAACGCTTGCCACCACAAGCTGTACTTCAATACAACTTAATCACACTGTCAAGCATTTTAACCCCCCTCTTTCATACCTTCCTTTGCTCTCTCCTTCAATAAAACTTCAAACCATGACACCACCAGCCTGCTTCACTTCAAGAAGGTGTTCAACCTTGCAGGCGTACTTAGCAAAGTGATGTGATTTACAGGGAGATCTCAACCCACACGGTACAAGGGAACTAGTCATACTTCTTCAAACTGACTGGCATCAATTAATTAAATAAAACCTCGGTAGAAGGCAGCATTGCTGCAGCCTGAAACAAGTGCTTACGTTTCAGTTTTTTCTACTAGAATAAAAATTGAATTCTCAGGCATAATGGAGGTGATGCTTTAAGAGTAATTGCATGTCTACCTCCATTTAAATACAAATGAAAAAAGATGGCTAAATTCACTATTATCTGAAACTGCTAAGGCGACATAAAGACAATCATTCTTATCAACGCCACAAAGACAGCTAAAGATCAAAGTCAGAGAAGATTTCTTCCTTTCCAAATAAAAGGGGGCTGTCAGAGCATTTGTTTTTGAACTCTGCAGCTAACGTAGCACTGGACAGTTTTAGTGGATCCAATGGTAGCCTAAGCAGCAATAGGAAGGATCTAACGTGTTTTGCAGACTTTTAGAATTGCAGCCTGTAAAACACAAGATGCACATGCCTCCAAAGTAGAAAGTGATAGAATCAGTCAAGTTGGAAGGGACCCTTAGAGATCATCTAGGCCAACTCCCCTGTAATGAACAGAAACATCTACAGTTAGATCAGGCTGCATGGCACCCGGTCCCGCCTGATGTTGAACTTCTCTAAGAACGAGGCATCCACCACCTCCAGGCAACCAGTTACAGTGCCTCACCACCCTTATTGTAAAAAAGCTTTTTCCCTATACCCACTTTAAATCTCCCCTCTTTTACATTGAAATCATTTGCCTTGTCCTGTCAGCACAAACCCTGCTAGTCTGTCCCCTTTCTTCTTATAGCCCCTCTAATTACTGAAAGGCTGCTCTCAGTTCTCCCCAGAGCCTTCCCCAGGCAGAAAAGCTGCAGCTCTCTTAGCCTGTCCCCATAAGGAGTTCCATACCTTTGATCATTTTTGTGGGCCTCCTCCGGATGTGGTCTAACAGGTCTATGTCTCTTCTACACTGAGGACTCCACATCTGGATGCAGTACTCCAGGTGAGGTCTCAACACCACAGAGTAGAGGGGCAGGATCACCTCCCTTGGTGGGCTGACCATGCTTCTTTTGTTGCAGCTCAGGATCCAACTGGCTTTCGGGCTCACGAGGGCACATTGCTGTCTCAAGTCCAGCTTACCATTCCACCAGTACCCCAAGTCCATTTCAGAAGGGCTGTGCTCTATCCTTTCATCCCCTAGCTTCTCGATAGTGGGGACTGCCACGATCCAGGTGGACTGCCAACAGCTCACCATGCTACTTTTCCAGCAGATGTCAGGATGGTTGAAGCCCCCCAGCAGGATAAGAGCCTGCAATTGTGATGTCTCTTGTATTTTGAAAAAGAAGGCATCATCAACAGGCTCTGCATGATCAGGCAGCCTGTAGCAGACTCCAACTACAGGATTTCCTTTGCTGCCTCAGTCTCTAACTTAAGCATAGATTTTCGATTTGCTTGTGGCCATTCTTCTGGGACAACTCTTCACACTATTCCTTCCTTGATGTAGAGGGCAATGCTTCCTCCCCTCCTTCCATGCCAGTTCCTTCTGAACAACTTCTAAGTGTTGACAGCTACACTCCTGTCTTGGGAACAATCCCACTAGGCTTCAGTGACAGCAACCACGTCACGGTTTTCTAGCAGCACAGTGCCTTCCAACTCCTCCTGTTTGTTTCCCAAGCTGTGTGTGTTGGTGCAGAGGCACTTCACCTGGGCAGCCAGCCTTGGCGCCTCCCTGGAGGATAACTCCTTCATTCCTTTAAGTATTTTCCTCAAATCTCCTTGTTGCCTTTTCCTGTTGTCTCAGATGTTCTGGGGAAGGAAGCTGGAGAGCACTGCTGGCAAGTACCAGTTTCCCCTCCTATCACATTTCAGCAAAGTTAAATAGCTCCTATATTTGAAGAATCAATTTGACAGTGGGATAAGTAGATATCCCGTGTTTTCAGTACAAATCAAAGTCAGGCTGTAAACCTCTGTGTTGTTGATTCTGCCAGCAAGGGGTATACCAGCAAGGGGCATACCAGGAGCATACCACTGAGAGGTAACAGTATTATTCCATGTGATGTTTTGGTTCTTTTCTAAATCTATATACTGGCATTACAAGGCATACAAACGTCTATTATTTTTGATACCTTAAAAAAATATGAAATACTTTTCTTAATTAGTTTGAAGTCTTCTGCCCCCTGCACAAGGATTTGCACAGATATTTGACATAATAATGAAAATGAGACTTTCACATAACTTCCAGAAATATCTCTATCTTCCTATAACATAAAAAAACATGTGGAAGATGAGATAAGCTAATGAAAATTAATGAAGAACTTTATTTGATTGATTTGAACTATTACAACATCAAGCTGTAACACAGCTACCAAGTTAGACATCGGAATCCCTGAAGTCTGATTAGCAGACTACAGTTGATGAAACTAGGGCTTACTCTCACATACCTGAGAAACAAAGAGAAGAAAACCTGTGAAACTTCAGCACTCTCCCAACCTCTGAGGGCTACAAAAAGGGAGAGCTTGCTAAGTGGCATTTAAGGCCTCCTCCACAATCAATGTAAAAAAATACATATAAACAATTGATTTTTGTATTTATTTTTTTTTTTAAGTAAACTAAACTTCACAGCCTCTTCATATTTCCTGATTATAAACAGGAAAGTAGATGAAAGAAGCTGGAACATCTCACCCTCATCAAGAGGTAATAAAAAATTGTGATGGACTCAAGTTGTTACCTAAATCCTCCCATAAAAGAATTCTATCTTGGAGAAAAATCTTTCAGTTCCACTGTCAGAATTTAATAAGTTACCCACAGTATCCCAAACTTGCTCATATTCCTTGTGCAGTCAATATAGGTCTCTTAGCATTATAAATCTTGGCTTGTTCATATGTTGGAAGCCAATCTTGTCTAGATGGCAAAGGAGTGCCAGAAAACACTCAGTTGAGGGAAAAAAAAAAAATCCATCAGTGGTACAAACTAAAGCTCTGACCATCTAGTGGTTTGCACATCACATGAACTGCTCCAACCAAACCTTTTTCTGGTAAAGAGCAGAAGGCACAATGTTACTGAGTTAGTTTTCCTGACTTTATAGTTGGCTATGTAGATATGAAGAGAGCATCATCTGAGCTAAGAGACAAAGCAGATAAATTTAACTTCAAAGCAAGAGACAGCTTGCTTGAAGAAGTTATCATTCCAAACTACCTGAAGCAGATGAACAAGAAACATTGTTCATTACAGCTAATACATTTCAGTAAGTAGTCCAGCAGCTTTGAGGCTGAAGAGAAAGACCTGAGTATAGGCCCCTCTCCATCAGCCCTTGAGAGCAATTGCCGTAGTTGTTTTGGGAACAGACGTTATACATCTTCATCCTCTTTCTCTAAGAAGTCTGTCAAGGTACTGTCATCTACAGGTATTAATAAGTACTCCACACCATCAGCTCCCTGAGAACAGACATGCAATACACATTCTGTTAACATCAGTGCATAGTGCAATGCAAGCCATTAGACAGCACTGCAACACTTCGAATACTTGCAGCTAGGGTGAGAGCTGGCAAGCACTGTGAATGACTACATTGCTAAAACCAGGAATATTTCCTTAGAGCAACACTGGGAAAGCACAAATATTGAAAAAATGCAAAGCTTTTGGTGGGCTATGCTAGTTTATCACTACACACCTCCTCAACACCACATTTCCACATCTAGCATTGCTACAATGCCTCATTATTAGGACTCTGCACTCTTCTGCCATGCAAATACGGGCAACCATTTGAATCACACAGTCAAGCTCCAATGTCCATTACTTCTCAAGGTCTTCAGGAAGTTATGTTCCACAGAGACCTGTAAGTTGCTGAATTAACTAAACCACACTGTTTTTTTTGTTTTGGTTGTGGGTTTTTTGTTTGCTTTTATAAGTCCCTATCCATATGAAGGGTGCTGACTAATTGAAGTTATGGAAAGCTGCAATTACAAAATCTCAGTGCTTTGCTAGCATCCAGGTGCTTCAAACTGCAAAGCCCCACTGTGAGCCACACACTTACGTCTTAGGTATACTTCTAAGGAATAAAGCAGCTTTTTGTTTAAGATAACCAAATCCCCAGAATTACTGTCTTCCCACAACTCACCCGCTTGGTCCGAATGAGCTTGTGGTCCCTGAATTCTGTCAGCTGTGCCCTCAGCGTTAGGTCACTGTTTACAAGGAAGGCCTCTCGACACTGCTGGTAGAAGTCTTGGAAAGAGAGGCCTGGAGACAGAAACGTAAGAACAAGGATCTGAAATGGAAAGTGTGTCTAACTATGTTTTCCCCACCTAAAAACTATGTTTTCCCCACCTAAAAACTATGTTTTCCCCACCTAAAAACTATGTTTTCCCCACCTAAAAACTATGTTTCCCCCACCTAAAAACATCGCTTCAGCTTACACCACCATGTTTACAGCAGCAACATCAATTCGAGTACACAGCCAAGTTAATATTTCAGTAATCAACAGAAAACAGTTGATTTAACATTCCAGACACCCTGTCTGCCTAACAGAATTTTAATAGTAATTCCCAATATAATGAATCTCTCAATTTCCAACTCCTTCACCTCACTTCCATCTTTCTGCACCATTAACACACTGCTCACCCTCTGCTGCATCTGTTAAGACCATGATAGTATATTCCACATGGATCCTAGGAAGCAGGGACACAGTGGAGATTACTTAGGAACAGCATGGAAACCAAATCTCCTGTTTTTCCCTGGCTCATTAAGCACTACTGTTGTGCAAGCTCATATTCTCCCTTGATTTTAATTCTATAGCCACACAGTGCCCCCAGCAGTCCCATTAACGCCTAAACATGAAAGCAGACAATAGTAAGAGGAGGCTAGAATCCAGCTAGTCTATCCAGCACCAATAGAAAGACTGTCTATACTACTGAGACACATTGAACCAACAAATACAGGTCTTCTGTTGCTGCTCATGTAACCTGTACACTAAAAGACAGTGCCACTGTAGCTGAGCTAGCAATGCCACCCCAACCAGGTGAGGAAACAGTAGGTATGCACCTGGGTAAGATGCGTTGTCCTTGTTCTCCAGCTGGTACTGAGCAAGCAGTCTGAATATTCCCCTAAGCAAAGGGATGAGAAGAGGAAATCCAAAGAAAAAAAGGCATTAGCAAATATTAATTTATTTATTTTTCTCTCATCACAAGCACTCTGCGCACACATGTAGTTGCTGGCTAAAGCTTGCTTCCACTTAAAGTAATCAATCACATGAAAACTAAGTCCCATCATTTTCACCTTGAAAACTGCTGTCAGAAAACAGGGATTGCCTCCTGGTTGGCGTATGCCTAACAGTTAACACAGAAGTCCAGAGTAACCTTAGTGAAGACTGGATTCTCGGTAGGTGCTACTGTGAAGACTACCAGCATCTTACCTGGCATTGGGAGTGAGGCTGTGCAAGACATGTGTTAAGGAGCTCAAAGCCAAAGATCCAGATTGCTGTACTAACAATGAGTTTTCATAAGATGTTTCTTCTACATAAGGACTAAATGTGGTCGTCTCATACCAAAGCCAATTGTAGAGGCTTTGCTTTGCCTGATCCCACACTAGACAGAGAGGAAAAAGGACAGATTGGAGGGTTAGCTTGTTTCAGGTATTAAATAAGCAGTATTACAATGTACTTAAATCTACTGTAGTATTTGAGGAAAAAAAAAAAAGCTTGTGAAATTCACAGTACATGCACCCAGATGCTGCAGTTCAGACAAGACAATCTTCTGCAATGGAAAATTTGCACGCATCCCCTTTTCATACCAGCTTCACGGATATGCTGTAAATCATTCCATAATCAGTAGTGCAAAAAGAATTTTTGATAAAATTGTTAAGATGTAGTGACAAATGTAGCATCCAATCTCCATTTCAGTAAGTCACTAAATAATAGGGTGTCACAGGCTTGGAGGGTTTTTTTGCTTGTCTTGTAAACATTGTTGTTTCTCCCTGCTTCTGTAGTGTTTTTTTTCTTATAATCAGAGACTGGTAGTTCTTAGCATCTTTATACAGTTTGGGTTGCACAAGGCCACAGTTCCAATCAGGGCTTCCAGCCACTTCAGCCATACATACATCACCAGGTCTATTTTGCACACCAAGAGTAATACACGAGCTTATGAAACATGCTCAGCGGGCCCGAAGTAGAATGCAGATTCTACATCAGGCCCAGGGGGACTCACTGAGAGGAGCATTGATGTGATCGATAGAAGCAATGAGGTAAATGCTAGGCAGAGAGGATAACTGTGCAAGGATCTGCTGACTTCTTTCTCCTCTCAACATCTGGCTGTCCAGGTTATGAATGAGGACATAGAGCTCTAAAGATGAATCTGCAAGGTCAGAAAAAAACAGCACAGAACCAATCAAAGAAACTGTACACAAAGCAGTTTCCCATTCCCAGTGCAGTCTAGGACAAGTCCATTCCATCAGGCTTGACATTCACCACTCCAGTATCAAATGACTTTCCTTATACAGCTTACTTTGATTCCTGTACCACACTGTATTTCTGAGTAGCTAAAAGGCTTTCTCTCAATTCATTATATTTCAGTTTTTATCACAGGTGCTGTTCTTCCTTCAACTGAAGTTTTTATTTAAAAAAAAAAAAAACAACACAAACGAACAAACCTTTTCACTTGCTCAGAGTATTACCAGGGATTGTCCTTTTCACTATGGTCTTTAGCTCTGTGATTCAGGTCATTCAAATGTATTTCAGGAGAGAAATCTAAGCACAGTTTGTTCAGCTGCTTTTGAGTTACAAAACTAGGATCCTTAAGCCCTCATAAAATCGAAATACACCTATTCAGGACTGGACCTGCAGCACACTAACTCAATTAGAAATCTTTCCCTTTGAGCACTCAAAGAAACTTATAAAGATTTAGCTTAGATAACGCAAATAGTAGATGTTAAGATTTCCAACTTAGCTTGTTGCTGCTACACTCATTCCCAGGAAACAGCTTTTTCCTGTTTTTACAGAAAGAATTCTGGAAAAATAGCCAGTGCTTGTGCACATCAATAGAGACTTGGCTGCCAATGGAAACCAAGAGTTCCTCAGACTCCTTGTCAGATCAACTGTAATAAATACATGAGACTGATCTATGCAGATTCAAGTGTATACAACTGCTAATCATTCTTCATTTAGTTACACCAGAAACATTGATAGGGATGGAGAATGAAGTGCAT